TTTATCACTCTCTCTCTCAGCTACAATTTCAGATCTTTTCTTCATCTCTTCCCATATTTTACCATCTTTATCACTCTCTCTCTCAGCCATAAATTCAAATCTTGTCTTCGTCTCTTCATATGATTTTCCATCTTTATCACATTCTCTCTCAGCTACAATTCCAAATCTTGTCTTCATTTCTTCCCATATATTTACCATGTTTATGACTCGATCTCACCCACAATTTCTATTTTTTTCATCTCTTTCCATAATTTACCATCTTTGTCACTCCCTCTCAGCCACATAATTTATCACTATCTCTCTCATCTACAATTCCAAATCTTGCCTTCATATTTTCCCATAATCTACCACTTTATCACTCCTTCTCAGCTACCACCTCGTTTCCGCCGGCCCGACAACCACCAATCAGCGTGGACAAGTTTCACGCGAGAGTTTCAATGGCAGGTGTGGTTTCGTCGGCTTCACGCTCTTGGCCTCGTCCTTCGTTTTCTATGCGACGGGAAAATCGCCGTTTGAAGGGGAAACTATTTCAGTGGGAGATGCTTTTCTTCTGGTCTTCGGATCGCTGTGCGCGCAGAGTGAGTTTTGGGGTTTTGGGTTTGTGTGTGGGTGTGTAGGGTGAATGTTCTTTTATGTATGTGCGTAAACAATTTTGTGTAAGGATTTTGTGTGTGTGTGTGTGTAAGTAATTTGCATGTTTTGTTTTTGTTGAGTTGCTGTTACGTTTCATACGCCACCCCATCTTTCCCTTCTTCAGACCTCAAAATAAAATCCGACCCCCAAAACCCCATCTCCCCTCCCAGTAAACTTAAGAACATCCTTTTACCAAAGTTTTCTCCACAATAGAGAGAGAGAGAGAGACAGACAGACAGACAGACAGACAGACAGACAGACAGACAGACAGACAGACAGACAGACAGACAGAGAGAGAGAGAGAGAGAGAAAGAAAGAAAGAGACGGAAAGGAAATATAAAAAGAATGAGAGTGAGAGATGAGATGTATGTCTTGAACTTTTTTGTGCGTTCCCTTTGGCACTTCCTCCACCCTTCTCCTCCTCCTCCACCCACCCAGGCACCTCCCTCCAGCTCACCAGCGGCTCCTCCCGCATCGCCTTCGTCACCATCTACCTCAACACGATGCTCCTCTACGCCTTCTACACGTGCTTCATCATCTCCCACTTGGCCGTGACCTCCTACAGCCACCCCTTCAGCACCCTGCAGGAGCTCTACGAGAAGCGGGACGAGTACGACTTTCGGCTTCGTTAAGGGGATCTCCGTCGAGGCAGCTTCAAGGTAGGAGAGGTTTTGGGAGGTTGGGGATTAGGGTGTGAGGTTTTGGGGGGTTGGGAGGGTTAGGGTGTGAGGTTTTGGGGGTTGGGATTAGGGTGTGAGGTTTTGGGGGTTGGGAGGGTTAGGGTGTGAGGTTTTGGGGGGTTGGGAGGGTTAGGGTGTGAGGTTTTGGGGGGTTGGGAGGGTTAGGGTGTGAGGTTTTGGGGGGTTGGGGATTAGGGTGTGAGGTTTTGGGGGTTGGAGGGTTAGGGTGTGAGGTTTTGGGGGTTGGGGATTAGGTGTGAGGTTTGGGGGTTGGGAGGGGTTAGGGTGTGAGGTTTTGGGGGTTGGGGATTAGGGTGTGAGGTTTTGGGGGGTTGGGATTAGGGTGTGAGGTTTTGGGGGGTTGGGGATTAGGGTGTGAGGTTTTGGGGGGTTGGGAGGGTTAGGGTGTGAGGTTTTGGGGGTTGGGGATTAGGGTGTGAGGTTTTGGGGGGTTGGGAGGGTTAGGGTGTGAGGTTTTGGGGGTTGGGGATTAGGGTGTGAGGTTTTGGGGGGTTGGGAGGTTAGGGTGTGAGGTTTTGGGGGTTGGGGATTAGGGTGTGAGGTTTTGGGGGGTTGGGGATTAGGGTGTGAGGTTTTGGGGGGTTGGGGATTAGGGTGTGAGGTTTTGGGGGGTTGGGAGGGTTAGGGTGTGAGTTTTGGGGGGTTGGGAGGGTTAGGGTGTGAGGTTTTGGGGGTTGGGGATTAGGGTGTGAGGTTTTGGGGGGTTGGGAGGTTAGGGTGTGAGGTTTTGGGGGTTGGGGATTAGGGTGTGAGGTTTTGGGGGGTTGGGAGGGTTAGGGTGTGAGGTTTTGGGGGGTTGGGAGGGTTAGGGTGTGAGGTTTAGGGGTTGGGGTTAGGGTGTGGGTTTTTTTGGGGTTTGGGAGAGTTAGGGTGTGAGGTTTAGGGGTGGGGGGTTAGGGTGTGAGGTTTAGGTTTGAGATTCCAAGGATTTAGGTTTTCGATTTTAGGGGTGTAGGGTTTTGGAGTTTAAATATTGCTCTGCAGTTTTTCTTATACAAGTGTCTTTTCTGTAAATCAAAGATCATACACACATAAAAAAATAATAAAAATAAATAAATAAATAAAACTTTAACACCACCAAACCACTACCATGACCCTCCCCCCTCCCCTTCCCCTTTCCCCTTCCCCATCTCGCCCCAGCTCGCCCCCGACGGCCTGTACCGAGACGTGTGGCGTGACATGGTCGAGCCCAAGTACGCCTCTCTCGTGCGCTCCGACGACGAAGGAATCAGACGCGTGCTGGCGGGTCGTTACGTGCACCTCATGTACGGAAAGAAGTTCCAGTTCAAGTACGCCCACGACTGCGACCTCATGGTCCTCCCGACGAAGTACATGACCATTGCCACGACCTTCGCTGTGCGGAAGGGGTCGCCCTTGCGTCGGATCTTCACGTATCAGTAAGTTTTGTTGTTGTTGGTGTTGACGTTGTTGTTGTTGTAGGATGATGAAGAAAGGATGTTAATGGTGTTGTATGTTGTAGAGTGACGATGGGAGCTCATTAATGGTAGATTTTTTCATACCGTTTATAACCTCACAACCTTCCGTCCTTCCGTCCGTTGTCCTTGCAGTCTAACCGTCTGTCCTTTCCCCTTCTTTGTCCTTGCAGTCTAACCTTCCGTCCTTCTCCTTTGTCCTTGCAATTCCCCATCTTTGTCCTTGCAGCCTGATGCGTCTGCGTGACACGGGGATCTTCCAGCGGCACTGGCGGCGGTGGCGTCCTCGACCCAGCAGCTGCGACGCCCAGAAGAGCCTCCAAGCCTTCACCCTCAACAACCTCATGACCGCCTTCCTCGCCCTCATCGCCCTGGCCGTCCTCGCCCTCCTCACGCTGGCCCTCGAGCGCTTGGCCACTCGGTGCAGGGGGCTCCTTCGGGACGTGGACTTGGTGGCCACGGTCGAGACGAACACCAGCTGGACGAGGCTCCATAACCAGCTTCGAATACCCTGGATGTGTTCAAGGTCCAGACGACCTTCACGACGACCTTCATTAGGAAGGCGAGGAAGAAGGAGGGGAAGGAAGAGAAAGAGGAGGAGGAAGAGGCTAAGAGAGGAGGAAGAATGTGGAACGTAGAAGAAGGTAGGAAGAAGAGGCAGATGACGGCTCTAGAGATCGAGGAAGTGGGAGAAGAGACGAAAGAGACGAAGGAAATGGAGGAGGATGTGATAGAAGAAGTGATTGAGGGGAATGAGAAAGACGAGATGGCTGAGCTAGAGGAAGCTGGGCTGAGGAAAATCACGACCATAAGGCTGAACAGTGACGTGTCTGACAAATTCAAAATGCCTGACATTTTCTGATTCTGCAAACGTGGATTTCCTTTCCATTACCGCTTCGTGTCAACAAATCTTACTTGATCACCCTTTTCGATTATCATGGCGAACATAAGATACAACAATTATATCTCGCATTTCCATCATCATCAAAGCAACTTCATAAAATGGTACCTGAATATTGACAAATTAACAAATGATTTATACTGTGGTAAAGGTTTCTTCCTTTTCACTTGGCAAATCTCTCCTTTAAGTTTATCAAAGCTCATGTGTGTTAATATATATATAGATACATAGATAGATAGATAGATAGATATTGATAGACACACACACACAAACATACACACACACACACACAAA